CTCACCAATGCGTCTCCAGTGAGCAGGTGTTGCTAGGGATGCCAGTTTCTAGGTGGGACCTGGGGATCCCCTGGAACTACACCTCATCTCCAGGATGCAGAGATCAGTTCCCCTGGAGAAAAATGGGTGCTTTGGAGGGTGGGCTTTGTGGCATTGTACCCCACTGAGGTCTCTGTTCTCCCCAGGCTCCATCCCCCAAATCTCCAGGAGTTTCCCAACCTGGATCTTGCAACCTTACCTCCCATCCCCTGCTGGTGTCCAGGGGGGACCTGGCAAACCTAACTTGGTGGAGGAACGTCAGTCCATACAGCTCACTCCTAGAACATGGTTCTGCAGAAAAACTGATTTTCCTTAAGGTCAGCTTGCCAATGTTGGGCTTCCCTGAGATGCCCTCTGAGTAACAGAGAAGAAGAAGAAGAGAAGAAGAGATTGGATTTATATACCCCGCCCTTCACTACCTGAAGGCGTCTCAGAGCAGCTCACAATCTCCTTTTCCCTCCCCCTCCCCAAAACAGACACCCTGTGAGGTAGGTGGGGCTGAGAACTGCCCTTGAGAGAACAGCTCTGAAAGAACTTGTGACTGACCCAAGGTCACACCAGCAGCTGCATGCAGAGGCGTAGGGAATCAAACCCGGTTCTCCCAGATTAGAGTCCGTGCTGCTAACCACCAATGCTCCCTCTAAGAAGTGGAGTCTTGTGAGCAAAAAAATTGTCGTTTGTGAGCTATTGGCATCAAAGTTGTGAGCGAGCAATTCGGCAGCGACATGAATTAGTTTGCTCTGGAGCCATCCTTCCTGAGCTAAGACAAGAATGTGTGACCCAGAGGCTAAAAAACGGTGAGCTAGCTCACGCTTACTCGGCTTAGCGGGAACACTGCTGCTAACCACTACGCCAAACTGGCCTACTCCAATCCACAGTATAAGGCAGGCCATGATTCAATCTGCTGTCTCCTGCTGCTGCCCTTTCTCTTCTTCCAACCGCCCCTCCAAGACTGTGCTCATCCCCTCAGCTGTGCTGTGCCCAATGCTATCGGGGGAATTCCCACCCGTATTCCCACTGCCTGCCTGCCTGTCTGACACTCCAGTCTGCCTGCCAGTGCTGCTTGGGGTATTTGCCCACTCCTCTGCACCAGCTGTCCTCTGCTCCACTGTGCAATGCTTAGAGCCACTCTGGTGGCATTTGCACGATTCAGCATCCATGCCCAGATTGCAGTCATTTCCCAGTGCCTGGCACCGCTGCCGGGCAATAGGGGTGGTTGCTATGTGCACTTGCCATGTCATCTCAGTTCTCTGGTGTTGCTGGCACAGGGGGAGCCAGTGGTTAAGATCGATGGACTCTAACCTGGAGAACTGGGTTCAGTTCCTCCACTTGAAGCCAAGCTGGGTGACCTTGGGTCGGTCACACAGCTCTCCCAGCCCCCTGAAATACGCATAGCTCACTGCATAATGTTAAAAATAAAGAGCTAGAACTCCAGGTTGCCAGTCAATCCTAGGAATCCCTGGCTAAACCACACACAATGCCATAGGATAGATTTTTGTTATTGTTGGCACGGGCACTGGGAAAGGATCAAGGGGAGAGGGAAACTTTAAAATAGTGGTTTGCCCTCTTGTGTTTGGCAGTGCAATCCTAAGGCCCCTGCCACATGGCAGGGGAAAAGCCGCCAAAAAGCGTGGCATTTAAAAGCCGCACCAAAGTTGAAACGGCGCGGCGGGATCCCATGGACGCTCAGACGCCGGGTAGAAAACACAGCCCTGATGGGGAGCCTGCCGAACTGCGCATGTCTGAGCATGCGCAGTTCGGCTAGGTGCCAGGGATGCGCTGGCGCAAGGACGTGCCGGCGATCAAACGGCCCGGCTTGCCGCGCAGCTTCCCGATGAACCACCAAGGTAGGTGGTTGCAAGTTGGGGCGGATTTTCGCGGGGAAGGGCCAGTTCGGGGACGGAAGCACGACGCTTCCCAGATGTTGTGGTGTGATCGCGCCGGTTTGCTCCGCCCCCGAACTGTCCCGCTCCCGGCCCAAATCTCCTAGTGTGAACAGGACCTAAGAACACTTTCCTGGGAGTAAGCACCCCTGAATAGACTTGAGTAGAAATCTGAGTGGACCTGTTTAGGATTTCACTGCAAGTGGAAAACGGCCATTCCTATTGATTTTAATGGACTTAGGAAATTCCAGATCTGAAGGATCCTAATTCTGAATTCTGAATCTGGTCTTTGGTGCTAACCCTCCCCCCCATAAGGCCGTCAGATCTAAGCCCAAGCTGAGCCACACAAACTTGGTTGCAACTGCCTTTGGAATTCATTCATTAAATTTTATTTCAGAACTTGGAGCAATAATATATATTTTTAAAAGCCATCACAAACCGTAATAGACTTGGCAGGGGACTCTCTGATTCAATTTTTCAGCTCCCTGTGCAATTTTTTTTTTTTTATTGAACACAAGGCAAATTGATTAGAATGTTCGTTGCGCGTTGGTGAAATATTGTTTCCCCGGTAAGAAAGTGGCTTTTGTTTTGGTGGTGGCTGTTGTTTAAAGGCAGTATTAAAAATTTCATTAGGGGAAGTTGTGCAGCCGGAGTCTAATAAAGGAATAAATTGAATGATCATGCAAATAAAAATGTAATTGCTTTCTAATGCACTTATTATTTTATTCTTTTTGGCCGGTTATAAGGGTTGTGTTGTATTTTTGTGGCTTTCCTTTACGGCGTCTGTGCAGTCTGACAAACAAAGATTGCACATGTGTGCAAGCCAATTCGCGGAAACCGTTGGAAACCTTTGTGCCTGCACGATAATGCGAGCAGGAAGGGCCCTACACAGAGAAGGTCCTAGGCTCAAATTCAATCCCAGCATCTTTTGAAGAAAGATGCTGAGGGAGCAGAGTTGGAAAGGGGCTTAGGATCTTGGAATGCCATTGCCAGGCAAGGCAATAGCATTTGACTAGATCAGGGGTCACTAACATGGTGCCCCATAGTGACCATTGACACTTTCCCTGGTGCCCAGCAAGTGTTTGTAGAAAGTGGGTGGAGTCAGGTGTTAAATAGTGGGTTTAACATGGCAGAGGCAGAGTGATTTCAACAAGCAGCAGTTTATTGCATCTCAATAGGAATGCTTTACATGGGGCAACTGCCCTAACTGTATACACCTAAGCAACGCCCAGCCCCCATGCGATTGGTGAGTTCAGACGGCCTCCAGGCTCCAGATTGGCTGGCTGCCCTCTGGGGCCAATCCGCAGGCAGGTTCCAGGATCCTGCCTGCCTTTGTTCTGGGGCTTCAAGCTCCAGCTAGGTGGCCTGCCCAGACAAGCCCGGACATGCCTCCCCAACTCTCCATCTAGGTGGCCTGCCAGACAAGTCCAGGCATGCCTCCCTATGCTGGCTACTAGCACTCACAGCAGTCAAGCCTGAGTGGAAGATTGCACATGTCCAGACATAACAAGGCTGGGCATCTGCTGAACAAGGCTTCTGATTGGCCATTGGAGATTTGATTACCCATATTAGGGTTGCCAGCCTCCAGGTGGGGCCAGGAGATCTCCCGCTTTTACCACTGATCCCCAGCCGACAGAGATCAGCTCCCCTGGAGAAAATGGCTGCTTTGAAAGGTGGGCTGCGTGGCATTGTAATATGCTGAGGCCCCTCCCCTCCCCAAACCACACCCTCTCCTGGCTCCACCCCCAAAGTCTCCAGGTATTTTCCAACCCAGACTCGGCAACCCTAACCCATATAGATTTTTTTAAAATGTTGCTTTGGCAGCAGCTGCCACCACCAAAGAAAGATATTCACTGTGTGACTGAAAGTGAGCTGTGGCAGCCATTTTGTGGCTGGATCCACCTTCCGCAGCAGCCATTTTGTAGCAGCCGTCTTGTCCCTGTATCCAACATGCTGTGTCAGAATTCCAAAGATGCCTGCAAGCTCAAAAAGGTGGGGGACCCCTGGGCTAGATGGATGTAAAAAAAAAACCCCACACATGGAGAGCCAATAAGGTGATCAAGAGAGTACAAGGTGGATTCTTATGTTTGATCGTGATCTGTATTTGGGGAACTCACAGAGGACCCAGGTATCTTGGCAGGAGATAAGACCACCAAATATCCTCTTCAGAGCTGCCATGAAGCTTGCTGGATGACCTTGGGCCAATGACCAGTTTGGTGTAGTGGTTAAGTGCGCTGACTTTAATATAGGAAAACCAGGTTTGATTCCCTACTCCTCCACTTGCACCTGCTGGATGACCTCAGGCAAACCATAGTTCTCTCACAGCTGTCCTTAAAAGAGCAGTTTCTCTCAGAGCTCTCTCAGCCCCACCTACCTCACAGGGTGTCTGTTATGGGGAGGGGGAGGGAAAGGCATTTGTAAGCCGCTCTGAGACTGAGTGAGGGGTGGGGTATAAATCAATCTCTTCTTCTTCTTCTTCTTCTTCTTCTTCTTCTTCTTCTTCTTCTTCTTCTTCTTCTTCTTCTTCTTCTTCTTCTTCTTCTCTCTCTCTTTTGCTCTAACCTACCTCACAAGATTGCTGTAAGAATAAAATAAGGAAAGGGATGTATGCTGCTGTGAGCTTTTTAGAGGACGGACAGGATAAAAAATGAGCTTGCTAACTAGTTAGCTTTTAATTCTATGAATGCATTAAGCATGGAGACATCATGCACAGCTGCTGCACTCATTGTCAGTGTGCTGAGGACTGAGCTGAGTTCAAATGTCAATCATGGTCCAATTTGATTTGAGTATCCCCATTTTAAAATATATCTCTCCTGTGAAATGATTCTCACCCTGTTCTCTTGCTGAATTCTTCTCGTTGAAATTAAAATACCAATTTGTAATTAAAATTTGTATGTGTGTGTCAAATGCACAGCATAAAACTGGAGCACCCATTAAAAAGGCATAAAAACAGCATTAAAATACAGAGAAGTGAGGGGCTCTGTGTCCTTCCCATAAATATTACGCCCTCGTACCCACGTTTGTTGTAAAAGTACACTGCTCTAACCCCTTTGTCCTTCTTCTCTTCCTCCCCAACAGGACACCAGCCATGATTGGCTGCTCGTTTGTGGTGGACAGAGAATACTTCGGTGAGATTGGGCTGCTTGATCCCGGCATGGAGGTTTACGGAGGAGAAAACATCGAACTCGGCATGAGGGTGAGTGGCAAGTGATTGGCTTCATGATCTGTCAACAGGTAGGAACTCCAAAAATACGTATGTCCTTTTGGGTGAATACACTTTGCTTGAATAAGGGCCATTCCTCAAGGCTCATTAGCATGTAGTCTGGCTGTACCACCTTCTTCTTCTTCTTCTTCTTCTTCTTCTTCTTCTTCTTCTTCTTCTTCTTCTTCTTCTTCTTCTTCTTCTTCTTCTTCTTCTTCTTCTTCTTCTTCTTCTTCTTCTTCTTCTTCTTCTTCTTCTTCTTCTTCTTCCTCCTGAAATCCCAAACACAATTATTAGGAAATGAGTTTTTTTATTTATCTATTTATTAGACTTATAGCCTACCTTCCCCTTGTACAACATGGCTCAGAACGGATAGCAACAATATTTATAATTTAAAACTGTTAAAACAACTCTTATGATACTAGTTCAATTCCATATGATGGCACACGACAGGAAGCATAACATGGTGCACATGGCAGGAAGGATAACACGGCCCCCCTTATCTAGAGGGGAAGTACTTATCAGACAGTTAGTAAATTAAAAATAACAAACCAGGAAGGGGGGAAAAAAACAGGGGAGAAAGGAAGGGGAGGAAGGCCAGTCCTGGTGAAAACCATCCTGGTAGAAGCCGTCGCTGTCCTCAGCCATAGGACTGGCGGAACATCTGTCTTATGGGCCCTGCGGAATTGCACCAGATCCCGCTGGTGGAGAGTTCCATCAGGCATTGAAAGTTTCATTTCTGCATAAAACAGGATTGTCAGGTCTTCCCTGGTCATCGGCGTGGGATGGGGGGGTTAGTATTGCCAGGTCCAGGTTGGGAAACTCCTGGAGATTTGGAGGTGGAGCCCGGGGAAGGCAGGGACCTTAGTAGGGTAAAATGCCATAGAGTCCACCCTCCAAAGCATCCATTTTCCCCAGGGGGAACTGATCTTTGTTGTCTGGAGATGAGCCGTAATTCCAGGGAGGCTGGCATCCCTAGTGTAAACCTACTTATCAATCTTACGCTGGCCCTGACGGTCAACCACAAGAACACCCACCTTAGGAAGGATATCACTTGGAAAACAAGGAGTCCTGCAAAGGTTAGGGGTGTGCAAAAAAATAATAATTCGGACCATTCGGATTCCACCGAATCGTGCAGAATCAATTTCAGACAGCAGTACCACTCCCGCATGTCAGTTTCGTCAGTACCAGCCCATTCGGGAGTCTTTCGGCCAGCCGAATGTCAATTTCTGCCCCATTATATCCTATGAGCCATTGAAGTCAATGGTGAAAACATAGGGTATATTCTGGGGGCTGGAGGGGAGAGGGCTTGAGGGAGAGGCTCCAATCTCACAGGGTAGCTGCTGGAGTCTCTCCCCAAGATACCAACCAAGTTTCAAGAGCATTGGACCAGGGGGTCCAATTCTACGGGCCTTCAAACAGGTTGCCCCTATCCCCTTCTTTGTTCTCTATGGTGGGGGGGAAAGTTACTTTTTTGGTATCTTGGGGAGAGGCTCCACCGCCTCCCTTGTGAGTTTGGAGCCTCTCCCTCAAATCCCCACCCCTCCAGCCCCCAGAATATACCCTATGTTTTTGCCATTGACTTCAATGGCCCATAGGATATAATGGGGCTGAATTGCCGCCGAAATTCGGCAGCAAGCCGATTCAGTTCAGAGAATCTGAATCGGCCTGCAGCAGCCCAAAAGGGGTCTGAATGGGCCATTTTCTGGGGTGCATTGGGTTTGGATGAACCGAATACACATCTCTAGCAGAGGAGATGGAAGTGGGTCTAAATGATGGTCGTGTCTAGAGATTGATGTGGGTGGAGGCAGGGCAGAAAAAGCACTTCGGGTGCAGCGATGCAGAAAGTCCCCCAAGCCTGGCAAATAACTTATATTTTGTGTAGCATTTATGTCGGTGAACAAAGGCACTCTGCTCTCTGGACTGATTCCCCTGATAAATTCTGACTTACTTCCAGAGCATTACCCCCAGCTATTGCTTAGAGGAAGGCAGGGCAGCCACCCGAGAGGTATGCGTCGCAGTCGACTCTTGGCACGGCAGCCCGGGGCCGAAATGCAATTTGTGCGCAGGCTCAACCTCCGGGGCTCTGCCAGACACTGCAAAGTGGACTCTGAGCAGGGAGCCGTCCCTGAAGGACGGGTGCAGAGGAACTGTAGAGAAATGCCCCAGAGACTCAGCAAGATACGGCCAACTCTCAAATTGCTGCCAGACCGCCGCAGCAGCGAAATTTGGGGCCTGTCAGCTTTCATCCGACTCCTCAGCATGTAGCAGGCTTAACATATTGAAGACTGTTTGCTGTGATTTTTCAGAGCTGATCTTTGGAGGCAGCAGGTTTTCATCTTTGTACAGAAGGGGTGCTGTGGGTGGAAGAGATGTGTGCTGTTGCTACTCTTTGGGGGGGGGTCATGCATGGTGGCGTTTGAGCCAATACCTGGCCCTGGAGCTAGTCTTCTTTGCTACAGGGGGTTGCCCCACTGAGTTTAGTGACAATTTTGAATTTCTCATCCTTGCTTTTTCAGCCTGAATCCTTAATTTGGGCTGCGATCACACATACGAAATAATCCACTTTCAATGCACTTTCCAACTAGATTTTTACTGTGTGAACTGGCAAAATCCAATTCGAAAGTGCATTAAAAGTGGATTGAAAGTGGATTATTTAGTGTGTGTGATCACAGCCTCTTGTCTTGTCCTTCCTTTCTGCAAATCCCACCTGGAATCTTTCTCTCTGTACCATTGTCTGTTTTCTTGTACTGTTCGTGCATTTCCCCACATTATTTCAAAGGTAATGTTAAATAGTGGGTCCCATGGATGAACAGGCTCGAGTCTAGTGATCAGCTCAACTTTATTTGTGATTTCAGCAACAACAAGACAAGACTCCAGAGCCTCAGCTCTGTTAAACAGCATGCAATTGCCACACCCAAACACACCCCAGTCCCAATGATAGGCTATTTACATAACATTACTACTAGATTGGTTACTTTCAGAATCTTGGGTAGGCTATTGTTCTTGTGCTCCAAGCGCAGCCAATCTCTGGGGTGATTTAATCAGGAATGATTCAATCCCAATGCATAACAGTAAAGTAACATAAGAACATAAGAGACGCCAATGTTGGATCAGGCCAAAGGCCCATCCAGTCCAACACTCTGTGTCACACAGTGGCCAGAAATACCAGGTGCCATCAGGAGGTCCACCAGTGGGGCCAGGACACTAGAAGCCCTCC